GTTTGTTAGTAGATCTGGAACATCATCTGCGTCCACTGTATCTGGGGCAAGCAGGAAACGGTCGAGGGCCGGTAATGATTCTTGGGTTGTTAGGAGTGAGGTGCCCGGTGGGCCTGTTGACGGGAGTGTGATTCCTAGCTTTCTAGGACACATAGCTGCCCGTATTTGGGAGGACCAGGAGAGGCCTTCAGTTACGGGGTTGTTGAAATGTCATACCCGGGAAAAGACTTGTAGCTTTTTGCGTACATGGGCTGAGGCTTGGCCGGCGGAGAGCGAGATGTTCGAGTGACTGGAGGGCACTGGGGTGAATCACGTTCCTGCCACCATGCACGATAAGATTGACAGTACGCTGATCACGACTTTCATTGAGCGATGGCAGCCGGATACAAACTCTTTCCACCTTCCGTTCGGTGAGATGACGATCATGTTACATGACGTCGAGGCCATTCTGGGGATTCGTTTTGAGGGTAAACGACTTTGTGCTGTGGCTGATGCGAATCAGGCAGATTTGCTGGCGGAGTTGTTGGCGGTGGACAGGGCTGCACTGTACACCGAGGCGCTAGGTGTTTGGGAACACGGAGGTGTGAAGATCGCATCCGTGTTGCAGCGGTGTTTGTACCCCAGTGCACGTAGGACGCACGACGCACAGCTGAGTGCTTATGTTTTTCTACTCCTCGGATGTACCTTGTTTCCGGATAAGAGCGGCGGAAACAAGCTCAGGCCACGCGACATAGTAGAGGCGTGTGACCCCGACAGTGTAGGCCAGTTTTCCTGGGGATCGGCTACGTTGGCGTATTTGTATCGCCAACTAGGATTTGCGAGTCGGGCTGACGCGGCAGGTATCACTGGGTGTCTGACTCTATTGCAGACCTGGATATACGAGTACTTTCCTGCATTGCGACCACATCGTGACCCAGTTCCTATTGATGAGGGGATGCCGCGTGCTTGTGCGTGGAGTCCGCGCTCGGAGAAGAAGTCCGTTGACCGCCTCCGATCGATACGGTTATTGCTGGACAGGCTGTCCCCCTTAGAGGTAACGTTTATAAATTGTTTCTACATTTTATTATTTGCACATATTATATTCATGTTATTAAATTTTAAAAATATGTGCAGGTGAACTGGATGCCTTTCGGCCCGAACCCTAGTGTTAGGGTACCCAGGACCCTGTACACGGGTTTCATTCAGTATCGTGAGATCGTCGAGGCGTACATGCCCCAGCGTTGTCTTCGCCAGCTTGGATTTGTCCAAGTTGTCCCTCCTCCCCCGGCATGCCCGATGAAGGCGGTCCGACCTGCATCGTCGAGGGACTACGTCGTGCAATGGCCGGATATCATGACCGGGACGTGGGACCAGTTTCCGATGGTGGCCCGCTTATGGATTGCGGAGTTGCAGCGGCCGCCCTCTGGGGTTCCTCCCATGTGTGACCATTACTACATGGAATGGTTCAACCGATATTCGCACCCGAGGTTGATCGCAGATCTCGACCACAGCGATGATGATTATGTGCCACCGCCTACTGCCATGGAAGCGGTATGTCTTATATTATATTTATCGTTGTCTTTTAATTAAGTTTTATATGTTGTTATTGTATTTCATCTTTTGTTTTTTGTTGTATGCAGTGGATGGGAAAGATAATGCAGGACGTACAGAAACTCTCTCTTGAGAAGGACAACATGAGTGCAACAGGGAGAGCTGTTGTTGATAATCTGGAACAGACCCTTGCGCAGTGGGAGTCGTCGTCGAGGAGGGATTACTGATGGTTTTGTCATTTTATTTATAGAGCACTTTAAATATTATCGTTTTAATTTATTAAATTGGACATTATGTTGTAAGTTTGTAACATTTTAGATTGTTCTTTTAGCTTCCAACTTAAACATATTATCATTGCTGTTTTTAAATTTTGATATAACCGTTCGTGGATCCGCGCAACTTACCCATGCAACATATAGAATGCAGTAAGCAATACAATATAAAAGATTAATGTTCTCATTAAAAGAGCAACGTACAAATAAGATTACAAATAAAGAATGTAAATCTTTACTCTGAACTCACACCCACAACCTTTCCGCTTTGTATCAAACCGAGTGGTTGTACGAAAATCTCTTTCTTCTCTTTTGCGATAACGGTCACATCTCAAAATGCGATCCATTCTACCATCCCGTTGAGATTTATGAGTTACTACTACCAAGCAAAATCCAGCTGCAATTGCAACCTGTTTTGCCCAATCAATCGCCTGTTGAGCTTCTTCGAATGGACCATCATGTCCAAATATCCCACTATAATCATTTCCGTCTCCACCATAACCCTGCATCAATTATATATTACAATAAATACATTTAACGGATAATACATTTAATTTCTATATTTACACAGAATTAACACAAAAAAAAGCATAATTATATATAATCAAACTTAATTTTTATAAAAACCCAATTCGAATTTTCAAACTAAATTTAAAAATATACCATTTCGAATTTTCAAACTTAATTTTAAAAAAACCTATTTCGAATTTTCAAAATTAATTTAAAAAAAAAAACCATTTCGAATTTTTTTAAAAAATCATTTTCGATTTTTTTTTTTAAAAAAAATAAATAAAAAACAACAACAAAATCAAAAAAGAAAAAAAAAAATAATTTATAAGGGTGGCGTCTGCCAGGGCTGCCACAGCCACTGGACTGGCGCCTGGCAGGGCCGCCTCAGCCAGTAGAGTGGCGCCTGGCCAGGACGCCAGTCTGGTGGTCTGGGCGTCTGGGCTGGACGCCACTCTGGTGGTTCTGGCGTCTGCCTTGGACGTCCAGGCTACGGTTTGGGCGTCCATCCTAGGCGCCGGAGCCACTCCGACGGTAAACCGTGAATTTTAACGGTGACTTACCTCGTTTTCCGTCGACGTCGACGTACCTCCGGCGTCCCCCGCATCTCCGGCCTGCCCTCCGGTCTCCCCCGGCGAGCCAGTACGGCTCCACATTTTTTAAACCGAGATTATTTCAATTTTAGAAAATGGGCATAATGGTCACACCAAATCATATTTGTGGGCTTTATATGGTAATTTGCGGGCGATGTTTAGCGATTCACTAAAACTAACAAAATAATTGAACTACTAATCAGTTACATTTTATTTTCCAGCAATATTGAAAGTGATTGATGATTAATTGACTGAATTGTACAAATATGCAGTGCTTTAATTTGAATTGTTCATCAGTCAAGTACAATGTACTCACCCAGAAAATGAGTAACCAAATATTGCAAATACTTGGAATTCAAATACAATGGTTGGTTGGTAAGGAGGTCAATAAATTGGTACTATATCTTGTTGGCTAAATGGTAAACCTTTTCTTTTGATTGGCATCTAAGTAACTGAGAAAGTAAATGCATCATTTTACTCATGTTATGGAGCAACATTCTTTGAACGACATGCCTCAGAGTTGAAATCAATTGATCCTGAAAAAATCCGTCTTCCATGCCTTATTCATATGAACATAATAAAAGCGGCATAATTTTGCCCGTAAGAGGCATATTAACAATGATTTATATCGTGGCAAAGGTATATAATATCTTGAGGATACATTGAATACACACTCATATTCATATGAAATCAATAATAATAGAGGCAAAATTTTGCTACGTAATATATGAGGTAGATTAACAATAATTTATTCGCAGCAAAGGTATAAAATTTCATGTGGATACATACGCGTATTCATTTGACTGTAATGTGGCAAACTGGCCAACACGTAGTATATATGAGGTAACAATAATATAATTTGCGACAAGGGTATTAAATCTCTCATGGTTACACACGTGTATCCATATGAATATAATGTGGCAAACTTGTAGTATGAGATGTGTAACAATAGTTTATATCATTTTGCGGCACATTTTTAAAAAAGTAATACTTGGTCTAATGGTAAGGATTATGTGTCACAATCTTGAAGTTTAACTTACAATGATGATGTTTTCAAGACTAACTTGGGGTTGCGTTAGCATCAGCAATATTGGTGTATGTAGTTGGGCGGGTATGGATTTAGGTTTATAATCCAACTAGTTGGGTATGAATTTGGTATGTACCCGGCAGCTATGTGGTGGATACGGATATGGGTAGGGGGTTGCCGCTAAATATTTCTGTTATTATATGTAAGTCCTAATAAAGATTCGAGAGAGAGAATATTTTTACGTCTCAACTTGAACAAATTCATAACTCAATTGCAAAACTTCTATGCATAATTGAAGTTGGTGCTTAAAATTAAAAGTCAACTAATTAAATTTTTCATCATTGAAAGAATCTAGATTATTGTTTTGCAATTCTATTATGATACGTTAATCATCGTTCTAAAGCATATTCTTGATATAATTAAAAACTTGGATGCTATAGTTGATTAGAGCATTACCCCTAAAGAGGACGAACAAATGCTGTAAGATTTAAGGGAGCTCTAAACACCTCAATTTTGTTCGAACTCTTCAGCTTACCAAGCCAGCCGCGGTTGTCCAACAAATTTTCCAGTGACCGGCTGTGATGTCCTAATGGTTGCAGGGGTCAACCTATCTCTAGGTATCCTAAACAAGCATTGTCCGAACTTAACCTAAAACGTCTTACTCTGAAATTATCCTTATTGTTAGATATGTCTTGATGTATAGACTGATTTTAGTCTACGATATCGAATGGATAGGTACTATTTATATTTTTGTTTTTTAGGGAAAAGCCGAGCCATTATATAATTTCATATAATTTCTATATGGATAAATATGGTTAATTAATCTAGAAAGAGTTATATCGGCTAATATAAGGTTATCCACTCAAATACCTGTAAAAACAACGGTAGAATGGTGCAAATGATAATACCAACTTGCATATTGACAACAAATCATAAAAACCTTTAGATCTAAAATGTACAATATGCATATTAATGGCCAAACAACGCTCAATAATACGTAAATCAACTTGAACGAACATGTATCAAATCATTGAGCAAAAGAATAGATCCATGTATGAAAAATAATTTCTGTTTTTTTTTTTTTTTCCAAATTGTTTGTATATCATATACAAAAACACAAGATATTCATAAAACTACCTCAAAAATACAAGTGTGTACGACCAAAACCCACAAAATTGATCAAACATCTCACTTATTTCTTTATACAAAGCCTCAATCTCTTCAATTCCCCTTAAATCTAACAAAACAAGGTAAAACACAAATCAAAGATTTCTAATTATATGTTACATTCACTAACTATTATTGACAATACCACAACTGATACTACTATTATTATGTGAAACCTTAGACCCTTTATTTTTCCTTAACAAATGATTCAAACTCCGCCACCACCACTTCTGCCTCCTATGAACCACGCTCACGTGACTCTTACTCTTCCTCACGAGCCCTCCACGCACTTCGGGTGCCCGGTAACTCCGAATTAATGCCCACTTAACACCGTTAAAAAACGGATGTTTCTTAATCTCGGCGGCCCCTCTAATAGCACCCATTCTTAAACTCGGATCCTTCACCAACAACTTCTCAATAAGATCCTTAGCTGCGGCCATATCCTTATCATCCTCGATATCTCTCTCTTCCACGTAACCAAATCTCACATCCCTAGACGACGCTATATTTCTTAGAGTCGCCTCCTTATTAACCCCCTTAAACGGGGTGGTCCCATATAACAACTCGTATATCAATACCCCGAAACCCCACCAATCAACGCCGTTACCGTGACCGTTACCACTAACTAATTCTGGAGCAAGATACTCGTGGGTCCCAACACATGACTTCGAGAATGCTCCAGTGGGCTCCGCCACAAACTCATCTCCCATCGTCCGATCAAACCTTCTACTCTTCCTAGATTTAATACTACCCGTCCGATTAACTTGACCTTCAAGTTTCTCAATCTTGGCCGTCACGTCAGATTTAAAACAAAGATCAAAATCGGACAACATAATATGACCATCTTCCTTAATTAGGATATTCTCGGGTTTTAAATCTCTGTAAACTATCCCTAACGAGTGGAGATACTCCAACGCTACCAAAACCTCGGCGGCGTAAAATTTCACCGCCGAGGCCGGTAATCGGTAGCTCGGCTGCTTACGAAGCAGCGAGTGGAGGTCTCCGCCCGAGCAATAATCGATCAATAAACACGTGTAATGAGACACCTCCACGTGCGCGTAAAGCGTAGGGAGGAAAGGGTGGTCTAGCATTGAGAGGATCTCAGCTTCGGTTTGTACATGTGAGAGTTTTTTAGGAGATAAAGAATCTTTATCTACGACTTTAAGGGCAAAATGGGAATTTGGGCTAGAATGGTGGTAATCTCTAATACGGCATAGGAAGACACGGCCTAGATTGCCCGTGCCGAGGATGCGTAGGAGTTTAAGGTTGCGGAGATGGAGACGGCCGTCGGGTGAGAGGTTTGTGGCTGCGCGGATAGCTGACCAGTGCGGGTCTTCCCGTCTATGAGGGCGTATAATGTTTTGGTGGTGGGTGTGTGTGGTGCATGCGCCGGTTGAGATACGCTCGTTGAAGCTGAGCGTTAAGCTGCTGCGAGCTAAGCTGCTTCGCGCACTTGATGACCCGAAGGTTCGATCTGTGGTTGTGGATGTAAAGCTTAAATCAAGATCAGTGTCTTGAGAGTAATAGAATGTATCATCATCCATTTTTTGTAATTTTTTTTTTTTTTTTTTGGGTTTGGGTGTTTTGTGAAAATGATGGGTGATGGAATACAATGAAGGGGGACTGTGAAATGGGGTTGTTTTATAAGAGAGAGAAGAAAGGAATTAAATGAATAAAATAAAAGAGTTGACTAAAAAGAAGTGGAGCGAGAAAAAAGGAGGAATTAAGAATGGTAAAAAGAAAGTACGAAGTAAAGAGTAAAATTAATTGGATGAGTTTGACTAATAAATGAGGACGAAGAGAGTAGAGAAAGTGGGTGGTTCGGGGAATTGAAGCTGGTGCTGACGATGAGGGCCTTCTAGGCGACAATGTAGCGTCAGTGTTGGGGGGTTGTGCCATTGTGTCAACAAAAATAAAAATTATATTTTCTCGGAGTATAATACATAGGAAAATAATTTAAATTAAATTGAATATTTGATCATGTATTCTCGTCTGATGTAATATAGAGGTGTCAATTTGGGTACTTGAGTCATGTATGATAAAAATGAGGTTTTTTTTATTTTTATTTTGAGGAAAAGATCATGTCGAATGAGTTCTATTTTAAGTTAAGTCATCCTAAATTAATGTGTTCATACGAGTCGAATTTAAATCGAGTTTTTAGGATTAGATTGGATCGATTGGATCAGTTTTTGACAATTCTAAACCTGAACTAACCCAATCTCAAATTTGAATTGTATTTGTAGATAGAAATTCGACCACAAAAATATATTTTCTTGGAGTATTATATACGGAGTAAGTAAAAATGATTTGAGCTGAATACTCCCAGTTATCTGATAAGTAATCTAATCTAGAATTTGAATTGTAGTTGTATATTTAGTTTATTCGGCCATAATACTTTGATTATTTGATGTGGAATAAATCTAATTGAAAAAAAAAAACTTAGTTTTACAATTAAATTGTAAGATGAATTATATATTTGATCATGGTATATATAATTATTATTAGGTAACTACTCCATTCAATTCTATAAGTTATTCCTAATTGACTTTTTTATGTGATACTTACAGTAATTAAAGGAGTTAAATCAAGTAATGGAGTCCTGGAGATGCCGAGGGGTAATTTTTTATAGGAAAAATTGTACATAATAATCCCAACTTTGCTGCATTTTCTTTTAATAATTCTAACTTTGGGGGGGTGTTTGCTTTCTTCAATCTCAAACCGGTCAACAAAAGTCAATGACCTATTATATCAGTTTACTTGATACGTGTCAAGTCCTAATTGGTCCAAAAAATTTTAAAAAAAAAACCAGAAAACACCACCAGCCCTCCTCTCTTTCCACCATCGGCCCGCCTTAACCCCACCATTGCCCAGCCCGCCGCTGCATTCCTTGTCGGCGAGCGTCGCCGATTTCCCCCTACCTCGAAACACTATCCACATAACATCAACCAAACCCCTCCCCCACTCCCAAAAACTCCAAACCGCTCCTCACCACCCCGGCCCGAAACCCTGGCGGCTTGGGTTTTCGATGGTGGGGGAGGGGTGTTTGGGGGTTTTCAAAAGTGGGGAAGGTGGTTTTAAGGTGTATTGAGTGTTTCAAGGGAGATTTGATGGTGGGGAAGGTGTTTTCAAGGCGTTTTGAGAGTCGGAAAACAAGGGAAGAAAGGCAGTGAGTTGGTGGGTTGCATCACCGGCGTGGAGGAAGAGGGGAAACGGGTGTTGGGGGAGGGGGAATAGCGGCACTAGGGGAGGGGGGATAGCGGCGTTGCAGGGGGTGGGGGAATAGCGGCCTTGCAGAGGGAAGTGGAATAGCAACGCTGTAAGGGGTGGGGGCAGCCAACCGATGTCAAGGTTCTGGTGGTTGATTGGTTGGGCATGGGTTTTGGCTGGGTGGGTTTTTTTTTTTAATTTTGTTTTTTAAATTTTTTTAACCAATAAAATTGGCCATGTGTCATTTAAAGGAAAAAAAACATTCAATTGGTAACCGTTCATCTGGATTGAAGAAAGAAAACACCCCTTAAAGTTGGGATTATTCTAGAATAATCCAAATTAAAAGAAAATGGAGCAAAGTTGGGATTATTATTTACAATTTTTCCTTTTTTTTTTTATTCCTTTGAACCTCAATTTTATTAACTCAACTGGTCATCATTGAATCATGAATTTATGATCACAAGATACCAAATTGTCAAAATAACTAAAGTGGAGCTATGCTAGATTAAATGTCTAATTACCCTATTCTTTATTTTTTGTTATTCTTATTAGACCTTATCTAAACTTATAGTTTGTATGAAATTATTTATTCTGAACAAATTAACCTTTATCTTATCTTATCTTAATTTTCCGAAAATAAAAACAATGCTGCTCTAAATAAATAGCCATATAAATTGATAGTTTATGCAAGTCAAGTTGATGTAATTGTGTAAATGTATGATATTGTTTTGGGATTTTTGTATTTACCACCATTAAATACACATATTTTGAAATTACCACCCAAAATTTTTTATTTAAATTACACCCATGAAATTAAAAAACTAATTAAATTACCACCTTTTGCAACTTTTCGGTCAATTTTCCGACTGTAGGCCCCACTTTTTATTTATTTTTTATTTTATTTCCCTACTTTTTTCTTCTATTCTCTCAATTTCTCTCTCTTATAAACACTATTTTATTGTACTCTACTATAATCTTTCTCCGTTAAATTTCTTCCTCTTCCATCATAAGTTCACTGTCAAATCATCAACCTCCCCACCATTAATAATGAAAGTAAACCCTAAATATTTTTTTCCAACTTTTCAACATCATAACTACAGTGTACTTGCAATTTCTAGAAAAGGGGAAAGAGGAAGGAACCCTAATTTCATAACAACCCCCAATTTAATTGAATCAGGAACCCTAATTTCAGAAAACCCTGAATTAAATTGAAGCAGGAACCCTAATTTCTGAAAACCCCCATTCAACTAAAGCAGGAATCCTAATTTCAGAAAACCCCCAATCCAATTAAAGCAGGAACCCTAATTTCATAAAACCCCAATTTAATAGTACGAAAAATCCTAATTTCACAAAGAACTGAGCTTACCTGATTGTGAAAAGGAGCATCTGCACTTGTGTGGGCGAATTTTTCAAATAAAACTTTGTAAAATTGTGAGAATTTGAAGGAAATTGATGTCGAAACTAGGGAGGAGAGTTTGCAGGGTAGTTTTATACAACAAAGCTGGGGGAAAAAATTGAAATAGGGTCAAACTAGAGGTGATCATTGGGCGGGTCGGGCTGCGGGGACTTTTCAGGCCATTTTCGGGCCGGGTAAAAAAAATCAACTAAAAATGCGTAAAACCGCATTCCCAAACCTGCCAAGAAAAAATAAAATTTCGAACCGGGCCGGGCCGGACCTGATTTTGGGCAAGAAAAATCTGCCCAAAATCGGGGCGGGCTAACTTTGATAAAGTCTTGGTCAAACTAGCCGAATCAGTCGTTAAGTGGCCTCATTGCCGAAAAAATGACTGAAAGGAGGAAAAAGGTGGTGATTTTTTTTTTTTAATTTAATGGGTAATAATTTAAAATAAAATTTTGTTGGGTGATAATTTTAAAATACGTGTATTTAGTGGGTGGTAAAATACAAAATTTTCAATTCCTATTATTTTTGACAAATTAAGGAATTAAAATATATATATATATATATATATATATATATGTATACCTTAATGGAACAAAGACTCATTTAAGTAGCATGATTTTAATCAATTTGCATGAATCCAATTTCATTATTACCAAACAATCATGGTTAATTACATCAAGCTAATCAGTCAGATTTATAGTACGTGCACTACATGTTCACTTACATCTTTCTAATTTAAAACTAATTAATCTGAAATATAGATAAGTTACAGAAAATAATGAAGTAATAATGAGTTAAGGAGGAGTTGTAATGAGAAGAACATGCAGCAGAATAGAAGGTGATGAAGAGATGCAGAAACAACGGTTAGTCGGCAGAAAAGGCACGTGCTGACGTGCTGGTGGTGGACTTGTATGCATGGGGCGGAGTAAAACGAGTTATCATGCATGATGCATCGATTATGTATTAAGCATACATTTATTTATTTATATTTTTTTTAATTTTCATTAATTAAATATTTACACATTTCATGAATTTTATGATTTTATCCATTCATATTTTACGCGTAGATTAAGCTTAAAGTCATGATTTACCTACTTTTTAACCACTTGTGTAATCCTTCATCCATGCATTATCTATTGACTAATGTTTTAGGAAGACTATTTAATGGCTACAATAAATATGTAGCTATTGTAATTGTTTTCAATCTTAACTATTAAAATTTTAAGGATAAATCTTGTTCATTTATTTGTTTGACTATAAAAAAATTTAAGAAAAAAAAATAAATTAACTGTTTTATTTTAAAAATAACTGTTTGTTTTTTCCTAAAAAAAAAAAAAACCTAGTTTTTGTCGCCAACACAAGCAGTTTATTACTTTCTTTGATCTACTGAGCAAATCTCACAATTTCCATTAATTGTAAAGTAGAAAATCAACATGGTTAACTTTGCATTTTCATCAAGAATATGAATATTAGAAATGTTATCCTCCACAATTAACTACTCTGTGGTATCTTCTTTCCCGCAAAATAAAATATCACCCAACACCATTGTTATACAAAATACATCATCATACTATGTCAAAATTCGGAATCAAACGTATCAATGGAAGAAAGGATTGGGGAAAATACTTTAAGGCTTTTCTTAAAAGTAATCGATCAATTCTAATTTTATTTAAAAAAAAATACAGTAAATTTTATTTATTATTAAAAAAAAAAATTAGTCAACTCAATGAATGATTAAAATTTAATACCAAATTTTAAAGGTTGAGATTGAAATATTACAATGGCTACAAAATTATTGTAGCCATTGCAAAATTGTCCACTGTTTTATTCTTTCTTAATTTTACCAATTTATTAATCATGTAAAAAGAGATTATCAATTCAAGTTTATCTCTTCTATTTCACAAATAATAGTTTGTCGGTTTTTTTTTTTTTTTTTAATTTAATTTGCATTACTTTAACTTATGCACTATACACATATTTTACTATAACTAATTGAATTCGATAATCTAAGGTAAAATATAATCATGTTATATTATATTAGGTTTGTTCGGTTAATTTAAATTGAAAATGGCAATCTTTGACACGACATGACAACATGACCGAAACTAGCACGACACGAACACAAAGTTACGAAGAGAAAACACGAAACCAGCCCGAATACGACCCGTTGTGATAAATTGATTAAATTATACAATTATTCTACATTTTATTACATAGTTTTTGATAGATTTATTGTACAACACGAAAATGAATACGAGACTAAACACGAACACAACAGTACATGACCTTTTGCCATCATCTCTAATTTAAATTACTGTCATAATATGAATTTTTGTATATATTAAAAATATAATTTTTATAATGTATTGATTCAACAAGTGTGAAATGAGAAGTGTTGCAAGTAAAGAAAAGCATAGAATCGAAGTCCTTCACTTAATTTAAGGATAGTTTAGTCAAGTCACTTGCAGTTAAACTATTTTAATAAATTTGTTGGAAGGTACTAGAAGTTAATTAACTAAATATTCACTTCCATTGTTTAGAAGAATGGGTTTTGGAGGATCTATCGGTTAGGAATACAAAGTGGGGCAGCTGGTAGGCCTGGTGGCTGGGTGGTGGGTAGGGAGGCTGGGTTGTGCTAGCTGTTGTGCAATGGCTACTTGCATGAGGCAAGAAGGCAAGGGAATTTGTCCTTGTTAGATGAAGAATATATAATCTGTGAGGTACTATGTAAGGAATAGACACTTCCTCTGTTTCATAATAAT